AGCAACAACTAAAACATCAGTGTGTTATCGACATTGTTCTCACCCTAAATCCAAAACACAGCACGGTACCAGCTACTGGGAAGGAAATTAACTCTATCCTGTTCCTTAAGAATCTGTAACAATCATAAGAAGGACGCAGCTTGACCAGATCATATAAATAACTATACGAAATATAGTAATATCTAAGAATATGTAAGGGACAACATATAACAAAAATACCACTTGGGAAATGTCTCATTAAAAGAGGATTTCTAAGATACAAAATGTGTTCCCCAAGTTGTTATAACTAGATTAACAGCAAATGTTTCATTTGAATAATACCAATACTTTACTATATTTTAATTAACTAATTAGATTAACATTAATACAGTTTATCAAGTCATTAATTTCCCCTGTTGTAAGGTTAAAATATCAAAGTTGACAGAGCAGCGCACTGCTGCACTGAGTTACAGAACCCTCCTGTAGAAAAAGCTTACACTTATTCAAAAGGTGCTCGCTTCCATCATCTAGATTATTACAGACAATGAAAACTTCATATATCATTTATCAAATAACTTTAAATGCAAACACCTTTCAACTGGCGCTAATACATCTACACACCCAGTGCCGAAGCCAGGCTACGTTCAAAAGCATCAGCATTCTGCAACAGAAGAAGAAGGAACGCTGCCACAACACTGGTTTGACAACTTCCTTAGAACATTATTCCTTTTGGATTTAAACTAAGTAGTGGTTTGGTTTTCTTTTTAATTATGTAACTGAAATTCTGGGTCAATCTAGAAATGACAACAGAACAAAACATCTTTTGAAAAGCTAAGTGTCTTTATGGAATTAATTCACATGTGCAGCCAGTGCAAGTGGATGGCATCAGCTTAGACAGGTTTAAATAATCACTAACTAGGCTTAGTCAAATTTTGTTCTTAATTCAAATTTTATTTAGAACTTAAATTTATAGTTTAAAAAGTATGCACATTCTGTAGGTATAAAAGTTTAAAAAAATACATCGATTTATTGATAAATGCTTCAGGTTAAATTTACATTTTCATACATTATCATTATATTGCAATAATTGTTTTGCATCTTTTAACACTTACAAAAAATAAATTAATGGGATTGAATAAGCCATTTGAAACCATGCTAAAATAACTCCTTAGAAAAGAGGGGTGAAGTTTGCCATAGCAATTCTTAATCCCTTGCTACTGTAAATAAATAACTCTTCAATTAAGCAATATAAGGAAGTACGGGTTAGCAGAAAAGCGCTTACCCACAGAGTGAATGGAAAGCCATGGCGGGACGCCAACATTGTACCGAAGAGATGAAGAGAATTAAGTTCTACCCTGCCAGCTGACAGCGACTTGGTGTTTGACCTCTCAAAACACATAACCCTCTCGCCCCCACCTGCCCAAATCCCCCCTTCCTCACGGGGGGGTGACCTGTGAAGGACAAGGAATGACTCCGTATCTCCTTTCGGTTAGAGGGACTATCAAAACATCTGTATGCGATTTTAATTAAACCAAGAGTGTGTTTCCTTAACATGAAAAGTTTAATTGCTCACCATAAATGTGATAAAGATAAAAGATCATCTGAGAAGATAGTGATAGCTGAACCTAATAAGGTCACAGTGAACTGCAATCCTACCCAAACTCCCCAGGAATAACATCACTCAACCCATTCAACCTCATGTAACAACTCAGGTTTCCATTTCTGGGAGATTAATTTAGAAGGAAAAAAAAAAAAGACTCAGAAAAAAATAACTGCCTTTGTGCAGAATTTGAGTCTTGCATCTCCAGAGCCACAGCCCTTCAGAGAGGGCTCAAACACATCTAACTACTAGCAGCCAGACAAAGGTACCTCAACAAAAAAACATGAAACTCTGAAGAGAAAAAAGAAAATTATTGAAACGTCAAGAATAAAGTAACAGGTTAAAACGACAAACCAGAAGTATTTTTTGAAAAGTAAATACCTTCCAGACCTTCTTTATATACAAAAAAAAACACAGAGGAAAAAAACAACAAAAAAAGAAGAAAAAAAAAAAAAGAGAAACAGTGGTGGGGGTGTGAGAGAGAGTTAATAGTCAACACCTGCAAACCGATGCCCCTGCAACACACAAGGTCATTTATATTAATCATTCACCCTGCCTTCTCTCTGGCCATGTTTCTGTGCATAAATCAAACGCTGTGTTACCCAAGGGGTAACTTCATCCCGGCATCACCGAACACGTCTTCCTAGAAACGGGGACATTTCGTAATTCTGAGACCTCTCCTTTCCAAAGGTGGCTACAGACACATGCACATTTATACATAGATATATACAAACAAGGTTAGAAAAATATTTAATTTTTGCTTGTTTAAATAATTATTGAAAAGTGTTAATACAGGAATACATTAATATTTGTACAATTAAAACTTTATATATAAATATTTTATATATATATATATAAAAAGCATTTTTCATAGCAGCCATTGCATATATAGTAAAATGAGTCTATCTGAAGTCCATGCTGCAAAACTCAGGCCAAGCAGCGTTCATCCTCTTCTGAGAGGAACATCTGTACCGGAGCTAGGGTTTCAGGAATGAGGAGTTCCGCTGCCGCCAACAGCAGAGATGTTGCTTTATCTTCTGCCAGGTATTGCCCAGACCACCTAAGTGCATAGTATTTTTAGGGAGAAACGCCACTATGTGGAATCACCTCTCGGTCTCTAAGGTTGTCTCCAACACCAGAATCAGGCCAACACCTTCTAACAAAAAGGCAGAAATGTAACGGAATGGCTTAAAATTTGTTAACGCAAGGTGGGCCGTGGCCTTACCACAAGGCATTCAAGGGCACCATCACTCCTCACATGACTGTGGGAAGCCCGGTGCGGGGCACGGAGGCACTAGGAGGAGGCGTCATGCAGGACAAGATTTAATAACTCATATTTAGCTTGTTTTTGTTGAGTTCCCTTTCCAGGTTTCCTATCAGAGTATCAATACTTTCCTGCAGGTCTTTGAGGTTTGCTCTGTGATCCACCGCGGAGTCTATTGCTTGCATTGTCAAATAGCTCTGAAACGTGTGCTCTCTGGGGATGGGCTGCGGGTGTCTTACCGGGGCATCCGACTCCTCGGCTTTGCTGCTGTCGTCCCCGCTCTCTGTGTCTTCCGAAGGGACGTCATCGTAGTCTGCTTCACTCAGGCAGTCTTTTGGGTTTAAGAAGTAGTTCTCCCCACAACTACTCCAGTCTCCAGCGTAGCGGTTGCTCGACGGGCTGTCTAGACCTGCTGGCCTCGGTCTGAGTACCCCAGACATCTCGGTACCGCTCAGATTCAGCATCTGAGGTCTCTGCCTCTTGGGTCTCAGGTAATTCAGGGAGGATGGGTGCTCGGGAAATGCATTCAGATGTGCTGGTTCTTTGGCAGGCGAGTGATGTACTAGAAGAGAGAAGAAGTTAAGCCAGAGTCAGGGCTGAACCCGTACTGCAACAAGAAAAGTCCACGACAGATGCCCACTCTCCTCCCTCGATGTCACACGCTAACAGCATGCATGAATACATGCAAGCTTACAGCCAACACATTCCACTACTATGTTTTCTGCTGCTGTTTGATATAAAATAATTAGAAAGACTACTGTAAAAGCTGAGTTTTGAAGATTCATGCCAGATTGAAACTGCAATGGAGAGAAGCCTGTCTAAAAGTAGAAACTCCCAGAGCACCGATTAAATTCACTGTGTGAGTTAATCACCATCTGGCTCTGGGTCAAAGAAAAGCAAACAGCTCAGCTCACAGGCTTCGTCCAGGCTAAAAGAGTAACAGAAAGCAGGCACAGCAAAAGAGGTTAAAACACAACAAAAATACCACCACGGAGAAACACCTAGAGAAGCTCAAGACGCACCAAGAGTTGAACTCTTGTGTTTCTCTTTTGCCCTAGTGTTCTGTGCTATTAAAAGAAGCTCATTTGCATTATGCATTATTTTTCTAAGCAGCCACAACCCCATGTCAGACGAACACTCAAACAGGTTTGATGGTCATGTTACCTGAGCTCACGATTACACAGCATAAGTTACTAACAGTCTCCTCCACTGTTACCAGCTTCCTACGGTAAACAGCACAAATATTTTTACTGACCTGCGCCTATTAAATGTCTGAGCTGCAAAACTTCTTTTTGTTTTGAACAGACCATTACCTCTTGTAATTGGAAGCAGAAACCTTCTATTCCCACTCACCGTTGAAAATGTGGTGCACACAAACACGTGCAGTTCACAATCTCACCCACTCCTCGTTAGACTCCTCACACGCAAGCACAAAGGCTCAGCCCTGAGACGTGCCCAGTGCTTCTCTTTCTGGGTCTGCATTACAGGTCTCTCCAGGGGATTTTAGTCTTACTTTACGTCTTGCGCAGTAACATGCAATAACTATCACCGCTTTTTTCCCCCCCTCTTACTATAACAAAAGCCTTTCTGTTTAGACTATGCTTCATTAAGACGAAGGGCCATGGGTTAACAATAACTTGCCAGTATTACATGGTCTAACCGAACAAGGACTATTTGTTTTCGGTTGGAAAAATACGGAAATTGAAGTATTGCACAACATGTTGATTATCAAGCTGTCTCAATCTACAGGAGATTAAATGTAAGGGACCAGACTGTGATCCTTCCGTTGGGTCCAACTGTTCTGTTTACACTGTATGGGGTTCACCTGCTCACATCTCTGCATTCGTGTTTTACCTCCCTTTTAGCACAATGTCCTGCACAGTTCTTGCAAGCTGAGGGAGAGCGTTCGGCTTTCTCTTCAAGGTGAAGGAAAACTCTGCTACTTACCCTACTCCTGCCCCCTTTACAGCAATGCACACTCCTATGGGCAGAGCTACATCTACCTGCTTTTGTTTCCCACAGCAGCCATGCCATAAGCTATCCCCAGGGTTTCATGATTAGCTCCTGCGCAGTATTTGCTGCCCAAACAGCTCTTGGTCTCCCTCTTCCTCCACCCACGTTTCCCATCTCTGCTGTGCTGGCTCACTGACCCGACTGAAAGCTTCTTTTAATTTTTGGTGGTCAGCAGCTTTGGGGCTGCCCAGCTGCAGCTGACAAGGGAGCAGAAGTGTCCTCAATCACCTCAAGCCCATCACGAAGCTGCACCATACATCAAACAAACTCTCCTCTCGCTCTTATTTTCAGGCAGAGAAGGTTTCCGTGAGGCTGCAGCGAGCAGAGCCAACAGCCGGCAGCTTGACCCAGAGCGTGGTCAGCGTGTACTTGTTACAGCCGCAGGGTCAGCTGTCACTGGAGTTGACTCCAGGGCACGGCCACCATCAGGTCAGCAGAGTATGGAAAAAAATGTAAAAAGCACTGCCATTTACATCATCCACAAGCAGCTCTTCAAGCTGCCCAGCCAGTGACATCCTTTCAGCACCTGCGCCTGAGCTGCTGGAAAGCAACTCACCCGCTCAGCTGAAAATCAGAGCAGAGTGGCTAGCAACGTCTAATGCAAGCAAACTATTATAAATCAGACTTAACACGGGGGGAAAAATTAGACAACACAACTGAGACTATACTTGTTTTTTTTCTTCCCCTCCAGTACATTAGTTGTCTGTATTGACTTTTTTCCCAGACTCATCTTTCCCACTGCTAGGAGATACAGGCAGGCGCTCGCTGACTGCTAGAGCTGCTGCAGCCCGCACAGCGGCAACACGCCCCGATTCACAGTGGCTCTCACCGACAAGGTTTGTGGCAGTAGGAAGGAGCCTAGCGATACTCCCCGGGTGGAAACCGTTGTAAGAGGAATGAAGAAGTAGCCCAAGGTGGCTGAAATCACTGTCTCAGCCAGAATATTCTTCATACTAATCAATATCTGATATACCACAAGAAACGTTCGAGCACTTGAAAGACCTCAGTGAGCTATTCACAAACCTGGCAATTACACTGTGCTGGTCAAGTGAGCTTACAGTCAACTCTCTTCTTTTGCATTTGCTTCACTTGTCCTGATACTTCATAGTTTTACCCAAGAAAGGATTAAACCTTCCCCGAAAATTCTCTCTCTCACAATTAATTAAAATAAAAAACAACACAAAACAGACACCCCCCCAAAAAAACCCCCCCACCTTACAAATTTAAAATAAATCTCTAGATAAAAACTTAACAAGTGTCACTGGCTAAGTAGAGCAGAGACTGTTTAAGATGACCTGCGTAATAACAATACAGTGTAGATTCCTATACTTTTTTGTAATCATAAAAACCCCTTAATTAACAGCAAGATCACACTTCTTGCATAGTTTGATTACGAACTACTAAGACAAAGACTACACGTTCATGTGCCTATCCTGCACCCTGTCTGCTAGCGCACATTCATTTACATCTCATGTCTAGGAATAGACATCAAACCCAGACACTTTTTTTTTTTTTAATTATTGTATAGAATCTGCCAGACATAGGTCTTTGCCAACCCATGCTTACATGTCAGGAGCCCTTCCTGGGCCCCCCAGAGTAAAATGCTTCAAGAACCACCTAGTTAGGGATGGCAATTTCTCTTTATAATGTTTGCAATGGGGGGAGATGATGGGGGGAGGGAAGTCTTTTCCCCAACACTCTTTAAATGAGTTGGGGAATGTTTTGCATCCTGAACACAGAGCAGCAGAGTCCACCTGGCTGGCTCAAACGCAGCCACAGCATCTGTAATTCAGTACTGCCAAGTCAGGCCCTTCGTGACCCTCCACATTTCCCAGGTGACCCCAAGTCTCCCATAAAAAGCAGACATCCTCCTCTCCAAGTAAAAATAAAATAAATTTAAGAACAAACTCAATCAGATATATTATTCATTTAGATTAACTGTCATTCCATGTCATGTTTCAATCGGTGCAGAAATTCAGCCGTTTCCCAAGAGCAATTATTGTGTTCCAAAAGGGAACAATTAAGTAGCTGTTTAGATGAGCTGAATCGTCTCTTAGCCTCAAGAATTGAAGGGTTTACGCTGCTCAAATTTGAGAAGTGAATATTAAATTATTCGGGTTACCAAACAGATCAGTTCTCCACACCGTCAGCCAGACCACTATGAAAAAGGAAGATAGTACAGTACAGCACAACGGACCCGTGTTCTGCATGGTTATGTAGCTTTCAACAACTGCTTGGCCAAAGACTATCTGAAAACAAAACTAAACCCATCAGATCCAATGTTAAGCGGTTTCACAGTATTTTTACCCTCAAACTCTCCCTGTTTAACTGAAAAGCTGCAATACTTTCTTCCGCTCCTGATTCCGGGCAGCGCTTGCGCAAGAGAAGGCTGCGGTTCAGCAGCAGCAAGGCACAGGAATTCACCACAGGCTGAAACCCAGGGCTCCAGATGTCATCCCGACTATTTCCACCGGCTTATGCCTCTCTGAGTATCAGGGGAAACGTGAACACCGTGCAATCATTTCCCATTTGAAAGACAGATCTTGGCAGAAATAGTTACCTTCACATCTACTTTGGCAGTTTATTAGGAAGATTAGAATTTCACCTCCCTTAACTTACTGAGAATTGACCCCAAATTGTCCAAAAGCATATGACCTCTTAAGTTTGGAAGTGGGAGCTAAAAGGTACTTAGGGTGTTTTGGTTTGGGTTTTGTTGTTTGTTTGATTTGGGGTTTTTTTTGTGTTTTGTTTTAAAAACATTTCTCCTTACGCAAAGCTCTGCAAAAACAACTAGAAGTTGCACAGCTCTTACTGTAAGGATGTTCCCAACTCTGCCAAATTACAAGGGCAGAAACAAAGCAACCCTTCAGGTACCTCAGAGACCAAACAACTAATGAATTCCATACACAGATAATCCTGAATGGTCAAAGCAGGAGCACAGAAGACAAAAAAAAAAAAAAAACAAACCACCACAAAACCAAAAACCACAAA